GCAGGTACATTGTAGCTCACCTGCTGCTCCATCCCTTTCACAGGGTGAATGTGTAACTCTAGGAGCTTAGATACCCAATCAAAAAATTAACAAGTGTGTGTTAATGTTGTTAAAAACATTAAATGTACCCATAGGTACATTTGCACAGGTCATCTGAATCTGGCACTTGGTAAATGCTGAGACTTTGGCTTTCCAGAGAAACGTTTCTTATGTGCAAAATATATTGGGGTTTGATTTCCCACTTTTTCCTTAATATAAAATAATAAAATATCATAAAAAGCCAATTATAATAAGTTAAATTAATGATAATTACCAAAAATAAAATTCTACCCTATTATATCCTACTGATATTCTCAAGCATCACTGCAGAGCTGGCACTTTTAGCATTACAAAAAATAAAATTCTACCCTATTATATCCTACTGATATTCTCAAGCATCACTGCAGAGCTGGCACTTTTAGCTCTCCCTGACATTTCCTTGCCACTTGAGCTAACAGAGTGACTGATGACAAATGCTGGTCCCCATCCTTAGCATGACCCAAGGCATAAAGCACACAAACAGTGGGTAGGATGCTCCACAGAGAGCAGAGACCCAGTGTGTCTGAAGTTTGGGGTTTCTTACCACATGCCCACAGGCAGTCACTGCAGTCTGTCCTTTGCTCCATCCTCTACCCTATTTACTCTTGATGCTGGAGAAGATTTGGAGCATCAGGGCCATGTTTAATGCCTAGACATTCTCCTTGGTGTCCTTCACCTCACCACCCTAGCCCCACTGCCTTTTCCTCCCATGCTCAATATTATATCCAAGCCCAAATCAGAGAGGGTATGAAGTGGGTACTTACAGCTCTGGTGACTGAGAGGAAACGGTCGTAGCTGATAAGGACAATGTTAAATACTGAAGCTGTGCACACGAGGTAGTCCACAACCAGCCAGAGCTTGCAGACATCTCTGCCCAAGTGCCACGTCCCTGTCAGGGCATAAGGGATGTAGAGAGGCATGCAGAATGCACCTGTGGAAAGCAACCAGAGACCCCACTCAGTTCACACCTACTCCAAACACTCCTGCAGGTAGAGACACTAAAAAGAAACAAACCAAACCTAGCAATGGGAAGGTGCAATTTAGACATCCAAATCTTACATTCTCTGAGGATAACTTTCTGTGTATTTAGGTGGGCTGATTGCTGGGAAGGAGCTCAAGGCAGATCAAAGAAGAACACTGCACTCTGACCAGCTCAGAGCTTCTGAAGGTACATGACCAGTGCTGCAGCACTCTGGTGCCACTCTCACTTGTCATCTCATGGCTTTACATCCACTGGAGTTTCATCTGTGCCAGAGTTTTCCCCTAAACCCCTCTACAGATGTTGCCAGTGTAAATTATTACTCTAAAATTCATTAGCATTTGCAAGCTAGAGACAATTTATTGGGCAGTTTGTGGTTGGAAATCCCTTCTAGCAGAGATAGAGCAGACACAGCAGAGGTATCAAACCCTTATCCATTTTTAAGGGCTGTTTTAATCTCATGCTGGTTCTCTAGCTAAGATTAACTCAGAACCTTTTTTTTTTTTTGGTTTATTACATTTATTTGTAGCCCAAAAGGCCTTCTACTGAAGTATTGTTATAGGAAAATTGTGTTTGTGTCCTATTTTTAAGCCAGCAACTTCTTCATTTTACCACTAAGAGTCATTCAAAAACCTGGTGCAACATCTGATTCCTCCATCATTCCTGATTCTCCACTCCTGAAGATGCTGATCTACCAGAGATAAATAGAAGGCTACAAAGCAGCTTCAGGATCCATTTTAAACACCTCAGATTATTATTTTCTTAACAAGTCCATGAAGATCTCAGGAGATCCTGAATGATATGTGGCTCACAGACACTAAACCTCTGAGCTGACAGATTGATATCAGCAGGGAAATGCACACAGCACTTTCAGTACCCATGGCTTGTTTAACATGAAACTTAAAGAGAAGCAGCATCAATTTAATACAAAACACTGATTTTTTTTTTTATAGTGGCTGATGACAGCATCAACATTAACAGGATCAATGTCTGGCACCGTGTCAGAGAGTAGTGATGGCTTTTAGCTATAAATACAGATGCAGGAACCAAGCTTTAAGCATTTATATTTGAAACTATTCTCACTTTTACTAAGCAGTGGATGCAAAAGACATGAGTCACATGCCTGGAAAGATCCCAGACTTCTAAGAAATTTAAAAAACACCCCAACATAGCAGCTTCAGACAAAAAAAAGCATTTTCTGGCTGACCCCAGAGACAAAGTCTTAGATTTCCATGGTCTATAGGCCAACATAGCATTGATAGCACTCATTTCCTCTTAGCTGTTTTAAGACACCATGAGGCACCAGCCACAAACAAGAACTGATGTAGAAGGTAGATATTTAAATCTCTTGACTAAAAAATAAGATAGGAGAAGAAACAGGCGTTTGCAGAAGACCTGAGCAGTGTGAAATGGCAGTGCTAGAAAAAACTGTCTGCCTGGAGCAGGAAAGCAGAGGCTCCAGCACATGCACCATCTGGGTTCTGCCCCATGGGGTGAGAATAGAATCACAGAATCCTTTAGGTTGGAAGAGACCTCCGAGATCATCAATTCCAACCATCAAGCATTGAGACATCAAAAACGTTCTCAAATGTTCTGAAGGATGTGATAAAAAAATAATCTTACAGGAGGAGCAAAAGTAAATCATAAAGTGTGGCAAACAACCTCTTTTCTTCAACTGATATTCACACAGAATAGTAACAAAGCAACGTTGAAATGATTTATATGAAAGAGAACGCAATTTTCATTCTTATTTTGAGATTTAATAGGCTGAAACACTTCATGCAGCTTTCACCATTCCTCCCCCTACACACGCAGCTAGGAAATAGTTCTCTTAGAAGAAACAACCCCAGAAAATCAGCCCCATTATTCCTCCTAAGATTCCCAGGACAAAAGCAGCCCGTGCCTCCAGGTGGGGACTTACCCACGGCAAAGTCCGAAATGGCAAGATTGAGAAAGTAATAGTTACTCCTGTGCCTGAGGTTTCTGTCCAGGATGAAGGCAAGGATCACCAGGGCATTGCCAAGGATGGTCACCAGAGCCAGCAGCACCATGAGGACAGCCAGCAGCACCAACACACCCAGGGAGAACTCAGAGCTCGGGGGCTGTGTGGACCAGGTCCCGTTGGAGGCTCCAGCCGCAGGGGGGATTTCGGGGGTGCTGTTGTGCATCTTGAGTCTCCAGGGGAGGGCAGCCTGGGAAAAAAAAGAGTCACATCTGGCAGAGTTAGCCAAAAGGTTGAGGGAAGTCTGTTAAGAAGCTGGGCTGAATAGAGATACATCCAAAAAATTCCACGAGATCAAGAGGATGGAACACAAGTCTTCAAGAGATGGAGTCTCTGATGTTCCTTCATCTGAATGCACTTATTGGCTTGGGAAAAAAAAAAGCTATAAAAGAGACACCTCCTAAGCAGCACAAAGTGCACACTTCAAAAAGAAAATCTCTCTTTCTCTCCTGACAGCTGATCCTTATCTACTGAGATCAGAAAAGTCAGCCTGAAACCAAACTCTTTTCACAGTGAAGCAGTTTGCATATTAGTATTGTGTAAGCATTTTTACACACTGAATTCTGCTAAAGCTAAAAACAGAACTCATTTTCACTTCCCCAGTGGTCAGCAGGATTTAAATTACTACAATTCTATTTCCCTTAGAATAAAACGTAGGCACTGTTGCACTTGCTGCTGCTCTGCCACTCATTTTACAGTTAAGAGCAGAGGTATCTTTAAGCTTCCACTCCACAAAGTCCCAAGCCCTTAGTCCTTTAAAATAAATAAGATAATAAACCCTAAGTCCTTTGCAGGAGTTGAGAAGTCATATCCTCTCTGCATCTGGAACACTTTGCCCAGAGAGGTTGTAGATGCCTCCTCCCTGGAGGTGTTTAGGCTACAAAGGAGTTTAGACTTGGTGCCTGGCCTCAGAAGCATGATTTGAGGAAAATTAACACACACTCAGAGTTGATGCTCATGAAGGACATAAAGGACAATATGAAGAACTTCAGCCACCCCATGAAGAGTAAAATGATGGGTCAGAAGACACTTTAACTGGAGCCAGTGATCCAGTGACAGCACGTGTGGGTAAGGCTGAGATACCCAGTGCTTGCTTTGCTTCATTCTTCACTAACTAGTTCTCCCTCCCCTCTATGCTTGAAGGAATTGAAGGAGGAGATCTAGGAGGAGCACGTGAGAATAAAGCAGGGATAACTTAAGAAGTCTTGACCCATAAAAGTCCACATGACCCAATGGGCTGCACTCAACACTGCTGAGAGAACCAGTGATCATCCTTTGAAGGCCACTTTCTATCCTCTTGGAAATGTCATGGAGACAAAGGGAGGTTCCTAACAACTGAGGAAAGGCAAAGTGTCACAACCACCTTCAGATGATGCCACCAGGACAAAAGATCAGCCTCTTTTGGGTACCTGGGAAAATAATGGAGCAAGTCCTCTAGGCAGACATTTCTGAGGACTTGAGGAAGAAAAAGGTGAATGGGAACAGTCAGCATGGGTTTACCAAGGGTGAATAATGCCACCTTTGATAAAATTACTGGACTAACAGACCAGGGGGAAGCAGTCAATTACTTCAAAAAACCATGCAATAAATCAAATGTTGAAGTTTTAATCTTAGTCCTTCAGGGGGCAGAGAAAGAAAACTACATGGTCCTTTCCTTCCTCCCTTCCTTCTGAAGGAAACCATAGCCTCCTATGAAGGAGGACAGACATTAGGAGGATCATTAGTGTTAAACATTCATCCCAGAAATAAACAAAAACATAGAACAATTTCTTATGTTTTATTTGGGGTTTAAGACTTGAGAGAGTCAGAAAACACTGCTGTGGTCTGAGCTGAACCATAGAGTCATAAGCCTACTGTCACTACCTGTTTACAAGACCTGCTGGACACCTGCAAAGACAGATTCAAGGACATGAAACAATGAGATGGATAAGAGGAGAGAGAGGCTTGGCTTAGAAATCAATTTGCCAAGTAAAGTCCATTCATGTCAGTGCATGAAAAGCACCCCAAGAACAAATGCTGAATAGCCACTACCACGACCCTACCAAAAATCCAGTGGGGAGAAGACCAGATGCCACCTTGACCAAGACAGTTTTAAAGCTGTGAGCACAACTACTATGTGCTTGATTTACCCTGGGAGCAAAATTTTCAACAGCTATAAAAAACACAACAAATTCTTCAACTATGCAAGCGTGACAAAAGGATTTGAACTCTGTGTGCATAATAGAGAGCATCAAAACCATTCATCTCTAGCAGCTTCACTAATCTTATTTCAAATTTGCTGCACATTGTGCTCCCTGACAAACCAGGTTTCCCAAATACATTTTACCCAGTCAATAATTTTGCAGGCCATGCTTCCAAAGTAAACAACACAGTCTTCAATCACAACATGCAATCTGAATTTGCATGATGAGAATGAACAGTGCAAGTTCATGAAACTTCATGAAAAATTCTTTCTTTTCATGAAAAGGAAGAGAAAAAACAGTTTCACCAGTGTGAAAACTGGCAAGAGAAGTCTCCAGCTCCAGAGCTCTGAAAAGAATTGGCACTTTACATCCTCAAAGCCCTCAACTTTTGTGCTAGGATTAAGGTGCTTACTTGCATTTGGATTGTGCTTGCAAAGGAGCACTCTGCTTTTGCAACACTTAGCCCATTTCAAATCAGATAAAAAGTGCTATTTAAAATTACTATTGCTCTTCATTGTTCTGTGCATCAGATTTCTCTTTCCATATTTTATACATATATATATATATAAAAACAGGAAACAAAATTATAGAAAAGAAGAGAATAAAATGTAACTCTCACTTACCCATTGATGAAAGTTTTCTGGGTGAGCTGCAACACCTAGATGAAGTAAGAAATTTTGGCACATGGAATGAGTTGTTATTGCCTTCTCCAACACATGTAACCACCCCTTTCATGCAGTGTATATTCAGCTGATTTGTTTATCAACAGCTGCTTAAGATCCCTCTGTGTCAGCCTTTAGACCCTCGTGGATCCCATTCTCAAGCAGTTGAATATGGCCCTTCTTCAGTGCTAGAAAAAATCCAGCTTGGTACTGGCTCAGTGGCAGAGGAAATCCATATCATGTCACAGTAACAGGGCACAAAGACCTGATCTGGTATAAAAATCACTCTGTCAGTTCAAATTTGTTCCAGGCGTTTTGATGGCACCTCTTTGCACTTGCAGAGCTTTACATCTGAGAGGGTATTGTCTGTTCTTGCACAGCCAGCCAAAATCAGAAATCCAGTATGAACCTGGCATGGATCTGCTAATTGAACAGGAATGTGATGGTGTGCCCAAGCCTGCTCTATCTTTCAGGTGCACAAATCTGGCACTAAATATCATTTAAACATGACCAAAGAGGACAGAAATTTTAACTCAACATATACACACAGAGGTATGTCCCTCCAATGAACCTCTTTGGAGATAGCTACATATATATCTCCATAGAGAGAGATATATCTCTCTATATAAATAGACGTATATAAATAGATATATATATAAA